CTCATCAAGTCACCGGAAAGTATTCCTTGTAGACAAGACTAGGGTGAGTATGGAAAGGGTTGAGAATCCATTTGAGGAAACTATCCCAGATCTTTGGAAGTTTAGGACATTTCAGGGGTCTGCCTAGTAAGAGGCACCAGTGAATTTATAATACATTGGTCCATTTCAAAGACACATTGTCCTGCCTAGAGAGCAGAAAATAAAAAATCCTGCAGTCTTATTAGTATTTAAGATTTCTCACTTTGGCATGATTAGCCTGATTTTCTGGAATTCAGCCATGTTTAAAATACCTTCAAATTAAAAACCCGCAAGTATCATTTAGAATTAGGTACATTTATAAGATTATCTTCCTTGCTTTTGGTTACTTGCTGTCTAAATTAAACTGATTATACTAGAATGTATTTGTTCTGGGCATTGTAGTGGCGGTAAAATGGGTGTCATCATTAATAAGACATTGGTACAAGAAAGTATATGAATTTCTCAAATTGAGATCCTACCACATAGTGTAAACTGTAAAGGAGAAGATTTGATTAAACCTGCTTTAATTGTAGTCAAGATGTTAAGACTTTGTCTTGTGTGTTAGGAATTGTGCTGTGGTGAAGTTTTTAAATTCAGTTTTCAGAGCAGCCGGACTACAGCCTTACTCTTCATGAAGTTTCAATTTTGTTTTCCACTCAACTGTAGAATTGACTTTTCCAGATGAGACAACTAAACAGCTCATTGCATTTTTTTGTTCAGGATAGAAGCAAAAACTTTGCAACCATTCCCAATAAAGGATGTGTAACCTCTCTCCAAGAATTAAGGCTGATTTCAGGCCCCAGAGAGCCCCAAAAGAAGCTCTCTGGAGGCCTCTTTCTCAAATAAGAACAAAATGGCAGCATTGGCCAGCACTGATTTCTGCAACCACATCAGATGAGTACATAACCAGACCATGATCAGATATGACAGTGGATCAGTGGACATGCTGTTCTGCAGCATGAAGGAGAGAAATAGAATCACATAGTAATCAATCCATGCCTGCATGAAAACAATAGAAAATCCCATTCTTTTCCTCATTCAAAAAGAGTACCAGGTCCTTTTAAACCTTGTTGTGAGGTTTGAAAACAGTAAGACTCTGAAGGAATGCGCAGGGACTACTTGGAGAAGAGGTGCCCCAGCACTGAAGTAAAAATCAAACTCAAGTCTGCTCCTATATCAACGGCATACTCTGGATGTTCACTGAGGCCATAAACAGATGACAAGCACAGCCTGATCCTATTAAATGGAACATGACATAAATGACTTTCAGAAACAGAGTTAAAACCACTGATGATTACAGACGTCTTCCCTAGCTACCCTCTGTTTTACTAAGCAAGCACGAATGAGCCTTGACTTTATCATATTGTCACAGAGTAAAAAATCCAAACATTTAACTTTTTGGGTGGGTGAATTTAAACTGTGCACGTTCCAGGATGTATTATTGCACGTCGCTGTTCAAGGAGCTTTGAAAACACAGCAGTCATGTACATCCTGCTCCCTGAGAGCTGGTCATGTTGTAGCGCTAAACACAGCAGTAGCAAGAGGGAGAGAAGGAAGTAAACGTCTTCTGCAGTCAATCTTAAACCACAAATGTGTGATCAGATAGTAATAAATAGAAAACAAATGTTCAGTCACCCCCCCCATGCCGAGGCTATTTGTCATATTAAGCTCGTTACCAGCTTCAACAACGTGGCAGGGAGCCACAACCTTTTGTGTAAAGAAGAACCTCCTGATCTCAAATTTATATTTCCACATTGATTTTCAGGTTGCAATGATTCTCTTTTGGCCAGCAATACTGCCCCCCTTTACCTTCAGAACCCTTGTCCATTTCTTTATTGGATTTGTGCTGGCTTTACTCTTTGGGTGCAGTGCTGGATGCATTATGTCAAAACAGTGGTTACTGAATCTACTGTGTACTACTGTGTACAGAGTTATGTAGATGTAGTTATTTGAATATTCCTGGATAGAACTGGATATGTTGCAATGGTGCCTAAATTCTTAGAGGTTAACATTGCAGGAGTACCTCCTCACTGGAAAAAAACTCGAGAAGAAAAGTTCCGAAATCCCCCTCCCCCATCCAGCAACGGTTTCTGTAACGCTATAATTGAAGGGCTCACAGATGTTAAGGGATGTTTGATGTACCTCTCAGCTACTGCATATTAATTAAAAATAAACTTCTGAGTAAAGCTCAGAATCCAGTCAACGACAGAGTGCTCTTTTCTTTTTGAGAATACCTACACATGGAAAACAAAGAATTGTATTATCCTGTGCAGAGAGATTGTTTTATTCCTCTCAGGGGCGTCGATCATAGGGTTTTAACTGCTGTCTGTCCAGCACTGACAAGGTGATGGCGCACAATAGATTCCTCAAAACACATACAGCCAAATGCCTATGTGTACTGGGCCATGCTTCTCTTGGGGAAAAATGATGTACTCTGTGTCTTGCTTGGGGTATCAATTAAAATACATTTAGACAAGGAAACAAGGCTGTTGCTAGGGTAGGAGGCAAGTGTGAGAGATCTGATTGAGTAAAATGCTCTACCGTTGATGCGTGACTCTCACTGTAAAGCATAATAGTTCTACAACCCTGTTGAGGACTGTAGTGAAATTAATATTACGAAAACAGCCATCAGCTTCTGTGAGCTGCATCAGTGAGCTGGTTTGCAGGGGAACACAAAGTCTAACTGTCATACCAGCTTCTTTTTTAACACATTCTGTGACATGGTTTCTGATGAAGTGAGACAAGTTCTTCCGCCTCCCAAACACTTCCTTTGTAATTAAGGAATGAGGTTTTATAGTTTTTCAACACAGATTTTCTTTATCAACAATTAAACTACCTGTTTTTTGTTGCAGAGAGTTCAAATTCTGCATTCTGTTAAGAGCACTGCAGGTGTGTTTTTGCAATAGTTGCATCCATTTTGTAAAAGAAAGGTAAAAACTTGGCTTGAGACCTACTGCCTGGCTGCCGAAACCAAAAACTAGCATGAATGGGAATGAGGAAAAACAATCATACAACGGTGAAAACACTAAAACTTTATGACCCTTCACAACAGGCGATCGAAGCTCTTTTAAAATAACGCCTACACCTTGTGTGATCGTGTACAGAAATAAAAAATCTTGTCATCAGTCCATGTAAATGCTAACTATAATGTGTTAGAAGAAGATAAATTATTTTTAAAAAACCCAACGCCAACACAGCTGCCATGTACAGTAACCCCTGCTGCAGCGTGAGCAGCTGTGATCATCAGCGAGAACAAACTGTCTTGACTGTTCATAGCAGCCAGGAACGGCCTAAGTGATCCAAACATTGGAATCCTCTGGAAAGGCAGCAGGCATCTGCAGCCAGTGCTCTTTAAAACCAGTGAGGTGCATCACTTGAAATGACAGTTGGACTCATATTTTGCAATCAGCCTGTGATAAATGGCCTTATGTAACCAGCTAGCTCAAGACTAACAGTGAAGTGAAAGAGAGTTTTGGAAACTGCCAAACAAGCCAACTGACTTTCTGCACTAAGGGCCAGGCTTTTTTCTTTTGTTCCTTTTCAGGAGTTTGAAATCTTCGGGATTGGGCTTGAACTAAAAAAATAGATGCTGGCTGTGTTCTGCGTTTGAAGTATTTCTGCTTAAAGAATGTTACACGTGGGCTCCCTGCAGGGTTCCAGGATTATGTAATTCTGAACTCTTAATTAAAAGAGTGGAGCTCCTGTTTATTCATTGTTACAGAAGTGTTCATCAATGGCATCAAGAGACGAAAATACATTTGCTAGATTTTGTGCTGCAGTGCTAATGGAAGAAAAGAAAAATTAATCTCGGACAAGCTTACAGTGCATTCAGCATTTGCTGTTATATAATGCAAGACTACTTTTTGTCATTTCACATAAATATGCATTTAAACATAAAGCACAACACTGACTAATAAATTAGGGCACCAGTACACAGCATATCAGACTTCTCTAAATCTAAAAATATTTTCTCTTTAACATTGCAGAAACAAGAACAATTCTAAAATACAGTAAATATTTTTTACATGAAAATGTTTTCAGTTGGAACCAAGATAACTTTCCTGGGTCTGCCTCACATATGAAGGAGAATACAATGCTCTTTTCCCATATCAACTATATACTGTCTTACAAACTCTGTGTATGATGCCTTTTAATCTTTTTGGCATTTTTTGAAACTTCACTGGGCAACAGACATACTGTAGACGTGGTCTTTTTTTCACGGTGTGTCATTCCGCTCTGGAGCCTCTTGCCCAGTTGTGTTTGCAGACAGTGAATAAATACAAGGCAAATCGCTGACAGCTGCTGTCAGATTTCTGCCAAAGTGAGCATCATTTCCAGTATAGCTTTCTTGCCTCTGAAAACCTACCAAGGTACAGAGATGGAGAGAAAAGGAACTGCAGGATGGCAACTTGTACTTTCAGTGCAGCAAAATACACCAGCCTGGCGGCTCGTCAGACAAAATCCTGTAGCATTAAATGGACATGATTTCCCCAGTGCATGATGATGGGAAGCAGATCCATTGTAGGGTCACAGGCAGTCTTATCAATTCAAATGTGAACTGGAGCAGTCTGGGTAAAATAAGTTTCTCATGGACACAACAACAATAGGATCTTTCTAGATATTATCCTGCAGTGCCCCCTGCCCTGTGTAATTTCACTCCAAAACACTTCTTACTTGATGACTGAAAAAAGCAGTGTAACAGAGGATTTGGGTAAGGTTTCCGAGCCATAACAAGAATACACGCCAGCAATTCTGAAACTGTATTTCTGTAGCACAGAGGCAGCAATGAGTCGTCTTTTTTTGTACCAGATATACATTGGTGTTGGTCTCTTTTGGTCTCTTAAGCCTTGTTTTGACTTGATTTCTTTTTTCTCTGTCTGTTCAAAACTGGTTGGGCTCAGAGGTGCCGAATTCTGGTTTTCAACATTTAGGTGGTGCTTTGTTAACAAAAAACTCATTTTGTACTGATATTTTTTTTATAGAAAGAGCGCCCAGAAGATCTCTCCCTCCGCCCCCACGTCTAAGCGGCTCCCCAAGAAGCAGAATGAGCTCCTCCCCGCTGGTCTCTCGCGCCTCCATAGACATCTTGGAGGAGCTGCAGCTCATTGCTGCTCAGAACCTGGAGAAGTTGGAGGTTAACAAGTACTACGAGGTGATTCGGGAGCTGGGGAAAGGCACATATGGCAAAGTTGATCTGGTCATCCATAAACTCCGAGGTGAGAAGCCTGCCATCATCCTTTCAATGAGCATGCCTGTTCAACAACCGCAGGGTCTGCATTACAGGGGGACCAGGGTAATGACCCCGAACCCCGAATTTGAAGGTACAGCACTCTCATGAGGCGTGATCATATGCATTACGAATGAGAGGAGGCCATGTTGACTCATCTTATTTATTTGATTGGAAAACTTTGTGCATGTTATTCAAGTCACCACCCTGCATATAGGATCTGCTACACAAATAGAACATAATAATTTGGTTACTGATATCTGATCAATGTTTGTATGCTCTTGTGTTTGTATGGGTTTCCTCCCACTGTTCGAAGATATACAGGTAAGTTAATTGGCTTCTAGGAAAATTGGCCCTGGTGTGAGTGTGTGTGTGACCTGTGATGAACTAGGATGTTTCCTGCTAGTTGCTTTGCAGGGTAAGCTTCGGCTCCCCTGAATTGGATAAAGCAGTTAGAATATGGATGGTTGGATACATAATTAATCTAAAAATTTCCTGCAACCATTACTTGAAATATATTCTTCAGCAACAAGGCTTGGAAGTTTGTTATAGACCTCTTTCGCTCTTTGCATGAAATACTGAATTTTTGCATGAAATCCTATTTTTTGCCCCAAATATCCAGCCTGTGATCCTTATTTCACTTTTGCATTTGTGTAGATCTCATGGTTACTTTTATTGTGAGGTAAAGCACTTTTTTGAGTTCAATGCCAAAAAGCTTCAAGAAGTTTCATTAGTATGGACAAGAAACGCAGACAGAAAAAAATATACATTTGTAGTCTTTGAGAACCGGTACAGACTTTTCAGTGTTTAACTACCTTTCCTTCAGGAGGTCATTTATGGTGATCGTCTTCCAATAATGGCATGGACAACCACTGTTCAAAAGACCACTCACTTAGAGACTCTTGCTGAAATAGGCTATTAACATGCTTAATAAAAAAGCTTAGTATAATATAGGAACCATTTGGCAGGTGTGGATGGGTATGCAATAGACAGTAAAAGAGGATCAAGATCCACAAAAGCTAATTTCTCCATCCTTAACATAAAAAAGATGATTCAGATGATTCCATTGAGAAGTTTGAAAACTATTTTTTTACTTTCCTTTTAAATGGGATTCTGAACTATACTAGGAAAGAGCAAATGACTGGTTTCAACTTGTTGTCACCTGGCAAAGACTCAATGCAAGCCTGTCCCACCATGTTTGGAAGGAACAGTCAAACTACAGACCATCTGGTCACACAACATCTTAGAGGCCTGCCAGCTTTGATCACTTCTACTGTATAAATTACAGACTGAGAAACCCAAGACAGGTGCTCCCACTCTGAATCAGAGGAAGACGGCTGAATAGCAGGAGAACCTTAGTATACCTGACTCCAGAATTCCCTACTGGGTTTCCTTTCCTGTTGAGGAACACAGTGCTTTTTCATAGACAGCAGTCTGCTATATTGTATTAGTGTTCAGCTTGCAAATGTTAGCATGGCATACCTTCATAAGGCTCAGGTAGCAGAGAAAAAATGCATTACTGTAACCAATCTGAACTGCTAAAACAAATCACCAGGGGAACATACTGCTATAGATTATTTTTAAATGCCATCATTCACATTTCACCATTAAATGTGCTGTTCATAAACTTTGTACAGTGATATAAGTGGCGAGAGATACAGAATCATGGCAGATGGCATTCATCTGATTCATGCAAAATATCCATTTAGACACAGTATCAAAATACGGTACCAATCCAAGAACACAAGGTTTTGCATATTAAACGAAAGGCGTGTTTTGTACAGCAAATGTATGGCCTGAGGGGCTTCATCAATGTAAAATTGCGCAATCAGTTTTAACTGGAAAGTTAAAATAATGTTTTCCAATCAATTTAAAGCATTGTGAAGTGCTTATTATTAAACTCTGCAAGATATTTCTTGCACTGAGTCAATGGAAGCTTCCACATGTCTGATATACAGTAATTGCTGAAAGAAGTTCTGAAATAATTATTGCAGCAATACAACTGTGTTTGTTTTAAAGCATCCACTTAACAGCTATTGCAAATAGCACAAAATGTGGGGTTAAGCTGCTTGGTTTTTTTAATATTTAAGCTGTGTCCGTTATTAAACCATGCATCTGGTAATTTTCCACAGGATATGAAGACACTTTTTCTGAAGACTTTGTCTGCTAATTTGAACTGTTCTCTCTCTGTGCACAAACTTACGGTTGGGGGCCCTTGCTACTTCCGATTACTGTGGTGAGCTCCCTCCAGTCTGCACCAGCTGTTTTGTGGTGCTGGAGCCCCTACATTATATATGAAGTTTGAAGGGATTACTGGCAGGCCTGCGAGATTTCATGACCTGTTCTCTAGGAAGTGGTTGATGTGAACATACAGAAAGTCATGACCACTCCTTGTCGGTGCCTGTATCTCTGCCAAGTAGCTTCTGGAACATTCTTTTTTAATACCGAAACTGCGGCATTTCTACTGCTGGAAACTGTCTATCAGAGGCTGAAATATATTAGACATTTAGAACTTGATGGGCAGAGATTGTTTTGTATAGTAAGAGGTGATAAATCCAGGATGGTAAATGCTTTAGAATGAAATAGTGCCATCACAGGATGCCCAGTCTGTTTCCCTGTGGTGAAATCGTAATGAACATCATCATCTTTTCATCACATTTTCCTGAAAACAGGAGGCACTTCTGTACACAAAGTATTGCAGGAGTCTGAAGCGAGCAGTCCAGCCATATTGTTGAAGCAGAAATTGAATGTCAACATCAGATGCTGAATTTAGCATGGTACCTATTTATCACAATAAAGTACTTACTTGCTGATTGCAATGTATTAAATAAGTGCATAACTTTTAATTCTGCCATCATATTCTGAATTTTAGCAAGCATAGAGTGAATATTTTTTGGATAATTCACTAAAATGTTAATAAGACAATTTAAATGATGTTCATACCAGTTGTGTAATATTAACATCTTGGAACTATAGAACATTGCTTCAACAAATGACACAAAGAAGAATAAGCTACACATAAGCAGAGGTTTCCTTTATAGTTTTACATCTGCAGTGTTATTCCGAAACATCCCATAGGTAAAAGCTGCAGAAGTGCAGTGGTGAAACAGTCCCATTTCTGAGGGTTCTCTTCAGTATATGTTTCAGTGTATTCATATGTTTTAGGACATATGAATGAATAGATATCATGATTGTTAAATATGTTTTGTTGGAAACAGGCACAAAGATGGCCCTGAAATTCCTCCGGAAAAAAACCACCAAGCTCAAGAGCTTTCTCCGAGAGTACAGCATCTCCCTTTACCTGTCTCCCTGTCCCTTCATCATCAACATGTTTGGGATAGCCTTCGAGACAGACGAATACTATGTGTTTGCCCAGGAGTATGCTCTGGCTGGTGACCTCTTCGACATCATTCCACCCCAGGTACACCATCAAAACCTTCAGTTTGCTTCTGTAAAGTGCCTTCATGTAAATCTTGTACACGGTACACAGTGAGCACACAAAGTGTGCATTTCTCTCAGTCGTGGGATTTGAGATTCATCTTTCAGTTGCTTAACATTTCAAATTATGTGAACTACTTACTGTTACTGCTTTCATGGTGGTCAGCTATCTTACACTCTGGAGTGAAGTCACTTGTGGAGCATAAGTTGGAGTTATGAGCTGGGACCTCTTATTTATACATACAAGCCCACAAGGAAAAGAAAAAAAGATTAGTAGGATTGATTTTACCTTGATCTTAAGTTGATTAATTGTATCAAGTTTACAATTGCTCCATTTTAATTCTCTGCAGAAAAACAAAGCTTCCTTGTTGGGGGGCAGATTGAATGTTTTTCAATGAAAATAAGAAGATGCGAGAATTCTGGTTTCTGTTCTTCTCATGGTTTGCCATGACTTGGGATGATTTGAATGGTTTCTTCACAAAATAGCACTTCTGCGCTGTCGAGCTATCAAGCTCATGCGCTGTAAATGCTCTATTACCTGACCCTTGTCAGAAAATCCCTCAGGCTGTCCAAAATCGAGAGAGTTTTCTGTTAACTATGTGGCATTAAGCAATCTGTAGTTCACCTGGAATGACCTGATCATTTGAATCTATGTATCACTGTGTTGTGCTTAATCAAGCTGTTCTTTATCGCCTCTAGGTGGGTCTACCAGAGACTGTAGCCAAGCGCTGTGTACACCAGGTGGCTCTGGCCCTAGACTACCTGCACTGTAAGAAACTGGTACACCGTGACATTAAACCAGAAAACATTCTGATATTCGACAAGGAGTGCCGGAAGGTCAAACTGTCCGACTTTGGGATGACCCGCAGAGCTGGTTCTCCTGTGAAACGGGTAAGCGGGACCATCCCTTACACGGCCCCAGAGCTGTGCGACAACTCCAAGCACGAAGGCTTCTGCGTGGACTACAGCACTGACGTCTGGGCCTTTGGCGTGCTCCTCTTCTGCATGCTAACTGGGAACTTCCCTTGGGAGAAGGCCCTGCCCTCCGACACGTTCTACGAGGAGTTTGTGCGGTGGCAGAGACGCAGAACTGGCACGATCCCGTCCCAGTGGCGCCGCTTCACCGACGAGGCCCTGCGGATGTTCCGCAAGCTGCTGTCCATTGAGCAGGAGAGGCGCTGCACCGTCAAGGAGGTCTTTGGCTACTTCAGCCACTGCTGGATGCTGGACAATGAGAATGGGGGCCACCTTGCCGAAATCAGCTCCTCCTCCTCCGAAGAGGACCTGGTGGACCGCATGAAGCAGCAGACCTTGTCCCCCGTCTGCAACGTCAACAAAAGCACCGTTGTCATGGAGACAGCGCCGCACTTCTCCTCGCTGTCGACCACCAGCTCGCTGTCCTCCACGAACAGCTACGACAGAGTCTCTCGGGATACCTCCAGCAGTCGGATTTTGGTGGCGACGCCCATTGAGATCTGCGTGTAGAAGCTTGTCAGTATCCTACGCAGAGCGGTCGTCGGGTTTCGCTGAAGAGGGTTCCAGAATCTTCGATGCGCAAGTGGAAGTTGGTGGTAGCTGGTGTTCGCTTTTCTTCCGAGCCTCCAGATATGCGAACCTTACAAAATGCCGCCAAACATTTTTTCAAAAAACGAACAGGCAAATTTTCAAAGGGGGGCTGCCATCTAAAGGTTTTCAAAACACAACCCTGACAGCTTCCTCTAACAGAACAATTACCTCATTGAGGATACATCTCGAACAATCACATCTGTCACCTTTTTCACACATTTCACCACGTCACATTGAAAAGAAACACAAAGTCAGAAGAGCAAGCTCAGATGTGCTTGTAACTGGTATTGTTACCGATGACCAAATCTTCATTTCTTAAAGCAATACGTTACGTTTTCCTGCAAAAAAAAAAAGAAGAGAATGCTATGGCTGAAGCCAGCTGGCGCATGGCTCTCGTAGGTGGAACAAGTGTCAGTTTTGCACAGAATGAAGAGTTAAGAAAGACAAATGTGACTTTTTTTATTTTCTTTTAATTATCGAAGCTGTTCAAAATGACAGCAAAAAAAAAGAAGAAAATGGAGAATGTTTCCAGGAAAGGGGAACTTGCATTGTGGTGATCATTAGTGTACATGCTACGTGAACTATGGTACTGTATTAGTGTGTATGTTTGTGTGTGGCTTGTGTGTGTATGAGTTTTCAGTAGTATAGATACAAAAGTTTTTGCCTTTATTTACTTAACTTGATTCTTGAATTCTCAGAAATATATTTTTGCTATTTATTTTGTAGAGGCATCGTTAGTGCCAGCTATTTGATTTATTTTAATACTATGGTTTGCTAATGTTCTAGTGCCAAATGCCTCTTGGCATTGCACAGTCTCTTGCAATTGGCCATACCTGCACTTCAGCCCCTTATCAGAAGAAGTACTCATAATATCTTTGGTGTTCTGTCATTTTAGCCTCTATGCAAAGGCAATATAATTTGTTCATTGTGACAACCTTCTTTTTTCCTGCTTGCTGATTTTATAATCCAGACTGTACTACAGAAAATAATCAGATGATTGGCTTTGTAGTGCAATATTTATTTGAATGGAACAGAAATGACGCAGAAGCCAGATTTCAGGGTCTTGTATGTAATGATGTAAAATGCATGCATGTGTAAATCCAGATGTCACACATTTATGAATATGTGGAGTTTAGAAATTAATCCGTCGTGGACCTTTAAACAGATTATCTGCTCCTGAGATTGTCCCATGGGACATTGAACCGAGAGAAATCCATATGTGTCTGCATTTATGGCCTCCAAGATATTTCAAACCTTTTAAGGCAGAGAAAAATTACACATGCAGTCACCATAAAGCAGAATTTTGTACAGAAGTCACGTATTTACCTGGAGTCCCAGTCATTACAGGCATCAGATATATTGGCTGCTTCTCAGTGTTTTTAGATAGAATTTTATTCTGGACTGCTCCCTGAGAAATATAACTTGCCCGTTGCAGTTTCCTTACCAGGGGTGTGGTGATACACATATTCTGCATGGCTTCTTAAGCTCTGAGCTCTAAGAATGTCAAATTTATTTTCCATCATCGAACCTCCTGCAGTTGTACTCAGTAAGGGCTGCAGGACTATTCCTGATGATCCATTTTATATTAAGTCTCTTGTTCAAGATCTTTTAGATACGATCATGTTTATAGCACGAGACCATCTACTGTTTCTGTCTGTACCTATTATAAGTTATATTGGCGCTGATGCTGTTGATCAAAATGCTAGTTATGATAGGAAATGACTGGATTTGCCTACAGTATGTTTTCACTACTAGTTGCAGATATTTATACCTTGAAGCAACAATGTAAGATAGAGATAACCTTGCAGAACATGCTAGATTCCTATTGTTTCCAAATCAGTTTGTTGGCAGATCTTGCATAATGCTGTTCTCTATATATTAGTCTTAGGGATAGGCACAAGTAGATTTTAAACTTCAGTTTGACTACAGCTTTTTACAGTGATTTCATTCGCTCAGTTAGTTTTATATATAAAAATACATATAAGTGTCTTTCATGAGAGACGGATGGAGAGCATCCAGAATGTAATCTTTGAAAACACTTTGAAAACGGTTATCAAGTACATGTTTTGAGTTTTTAGAGATCTGTTTTTTTATAGTGGATTAATTTGCCACTGCAGTTGAAAACATATTTACTTTCTGTTTCTGCCTTTTTCTTGTGTAGAGGCCAGAGCTTTTAGGACAGTGGAAAGCATAAGAGCTTGTTGACTTCTTCTGTGAAGTCTACAGGAGGGCCCGGTGGAGGGGTTTTGTTTCCCAGAGTGCAGTTGCAATTGTTCTGTCTCATCTGGCAGAGTTCCTGCCAAATGTCATCTTTTATCTGTTAGATGCGAAATACAGAAACAGCTTATGCTTTTGAATGGAGTAAATGTAGCAAAAAATCCTGAAAAGCAGTGATGGACCCCGAACCTACAGTACAATCCACAGGGAAAAGAGCGTTTCTGATTTTTAGGGACTTTGATCGAATAGAGCATTCTTCTTCACATCATTTTCAGCACCATTTAAAAGCGAGAGTGTGCTGCTGTCAGCAAAGGGATAGCCTAAAGGAACTGTTTCACGTTTTATCGACTATAGCTCTTCTTCTTACTTCATGGCAGCGTGAATGTCCTGTAGGTTCGGCCTTTATTATTTGACTTTCAGTAGTCTTGATTTTCAGTTTGTTCAGAAATTTGTATACAGTGGATTTTTGTGATGCTTTAGTTTGCATTCTGTCCATTTTTAGAGGGCACAAAATTCATCTTGTGGCATATCTTTGGCAAAAAACTGGTGGATATTAATTTCTATGGCAGGTCTTAAGCTTGGAAAGTTGCACTAGGTTAACTAGTTCTTAGTTATGACTTACTGGTCTGTTCATGTAGTTTGTAAAGGGAGTTAATTCCCTTTATGCAGTTTTGTAAAGAAATTCACTTTTGATTACATTTTTGCAGTTTTGAATTGAATAGTCAGAATTCAGCAAAAATGCCAAGTAAGATATACTGTATAAAAGGGCAATTAAAAAACAAAATGGTATGTTTTAAACATATCCTACAAAATTAGTACTGAACTGTATTTGTAAAAGCTATGTAATGATCATTGTGGTGAAATTTCACTGTAGCACAATTTTTTGTGTAGTGTTCCCGAGTGAGGATTGCTGTGAAGACTTATTGAAACAAACTAGGGCTACAAAGAAAAAAGCTAGTTTTTATTTACTGTGTTGTATTTGTATATACTGTAGTATTTGTAATACTGTTAAACCAAATCAAGGGAGACCATGTGGAAAATAACTGGCGTTGACAGTGAAGTGTTACTTGATTAAACCTCAGCTTTCTGATTTATCTGGGTATTAAAGAAAAGACTGTTGTTTATTTTACAACATGATGCAACCAGCACTCCATGTCCTGAAGTCAGATTGCTTTTTTTATTTTTATTTTCAATGTTATTTTATTAACTGGAGAGAAATCTGTCGGGTTTCATTTTCAAGCGAAAATTGTTCATAGTTTTTCAAGACTGAAAATGTAAACAAACTGATCAACGTTAATTCCCAGCAGGAGCAGATAACAGTTGGACTTTGGTGGAAAGCAGCGTCAATTTACTGCTGCAAGCGTGACATTTGCCTTTTTAAAAAAGATAAAACACAAAAAAGGGACATTTTGGATGGAATATGTGTGTTTTATGTTTTCTAGACACATTTGCATGAACTTAAGATGTTGTTCTGGAAATACATTGTGAAACTCTCTTGCGGTTGCAAGCTGCAGTATCCCTTTACCTGCCTCTTCAAGTAAGCTGCAGACATTCAGAGTGCTAGTTAAAGAATTACCATGGAAACCATCTGAAAATGACTTGCTACTTTTTCATCTTTCCCACATTGGTGACCAGCTGAGCTTTTTCTTGTTCACTTCTCCGATGCAGAGAATTCAACCTGAAGCAAAAGGAATACTGCACTTTGTGACAAATATATTTATCCTGATCTTATTGTGCTCTAACTTAAAAGAGGCAGATCATTTTGGCAACGACAGCTGCCCAGCCTGACTGCTAAGCAATCCAGGTTGTCCGATTTCCTTAGTCATTGCCAAAACATGAAAATGTTGGACATAGTGGTTTAGCACACTGTCATAATGTAATGTGTTGCCAGTAATGTAATGGAAATTCTTTGTCTATCTGTATACGTGATGTACTTTGATGCACCAATGTTTCTAGTGGAGTTTTAGCCCATAGGGACATGACACTAGAACTCGTGTCTGATTCAGTCATTGCAATACAATTGTCTTCCTGTAATTTACTTACAATTTAATTAAAAATGAAAAAAAAAATGAAACGGTACTGGCATTTGTACAGTCACTTCTGTAAGTGTAAGATATTCTTGTGACCTTGTAAGAGTGTGGTGTGTGAAGGAGTCAGTAGCAGACATTTAGTAGGAAATGGGTTAGATTCCCACTGGTCACAATTCGTTCTCCAAAATCTGATGCCTGCTGGTTGAAATAAGAAGTGTAAACAGTAAGATGATTCAATCTAAACACAAACCTCAACTGCTAAAAGTTTCACAGCCTGGAAAATCACCAAATTATGATTTTCTTGGTTAAACACCTCCACTGATTTAGAAAAAAAAATCGACCCTGTCTCCTTAATGATATTTACATTGAATTGTCATCCTTATTGGTTCAAACAAACAGCTTTGCAAAGTGGGCTGAAAAAAGGTACTGTAAATTGGAAACAGCTGCGCACTTGTCCCCTTTGGTCTTAAAGCAGTGTTTTCCTTCTTGTCAGCCTCTGTAAACTGTCGAGTGGAGCAGCACCCAGCTCTTTGTTTCACAGTCTTGGCCAATAGGTTTCTGTTTTCTAATCAGCAGCTACAGCAGAATGGAACTCACTGAATCCCTTCATAGCCAAGAACATTCACTGAACGCCACGCGTGCTGCATACAAATTACCCTGAGGCGATTCACACCCCAGTCATTCTTCGAGGTCATATTTATATTACACAGTTGTCACTAGTGCAAAGGAAAATAAAAGGCAAAGACCTATATGCGTAAAAATATCTATTGCATATTTTCCTGCTAATTAACCAATTATAATCCTGTTTGCTCCTGAAGAGGAAATAGAAAAGGCTGCCATAGCAACAACAATGGCAGAACAAAAGTTGCATGAAGTGGTTGAGTATTCCAAGGTCATACACCTCCTACCCACCACAGGTTCAACTGGGAGAATTGGAATGGATGTTGGTCATATTCGTCAATCGTTTGACTGTCCTACAAATGCTTTTATTAAACCAGACTTTATTTTAATGGCTTCTGTAGGGACTCCACAGATTCAATTTACCTCCAAGGCCAGAGCAAAGATTTGGACAAATGAAATGCCTGTTGTGCTGCACTCTGCTGTCTTGAGTTATTATGACATGAAATTGAGAAAATGAGTTTTTAACAGGGATTATGAATGCCAAAGTCATGCTTATTAGAGGAAAAGTAAGATAAGAGATTGAGGGGGGAGAGCGAGCGAGCGAGCTCTGGTGAAATACATCTCTAGAATAATGTTGAGCACATCCTTGCCACAGAATACACTTTCCATGAGCTTCTCTCATCTCCGCAGATGGTGAATCAAACTGTTTTTCTACTGCACTGTAAAAAGTAAGTTATTGGCACTTATGAATTAATTTAGACAGAAATAAAGTCTAATACTTGAAGTGTATCATAAGGAGTGGATTATAACAAATAATTAATTTGCAGTATGTTCTAAATATGAGTTGAATCTCTGATTGAAAAGCCGCATTTTAATCATGGTGATGATAATAATGAAGAAGGAATAGGATCTTTGACATTAGGTACTATTTGTAAGAAAAGTGTCAACTGCACTTTGAATACAGGTGTTATTGCTTGCCTGTAAACTCCTCCAGTGCTGCTTCCTTTGAGAAAGCCAGTCACAAAATGTTTTGTATGTATATACAAACTTTTTATATATATATTCATTCACCCTGAAATATAGCTCTCCCACCTGAGTGACACATGGCATTCATTGTGCTCCAACAACCTCACTACACAGCAGATCAGCTGTGAAAACGAGCTGTGAAAACTTCTCCTTTCTCATCAGAGTTGCTTCACTAGTGGAATAAAGAGGGAGCTTAAGGGAAGCCCAGAGACACCTGATTTAACACTGCTACTCTTTTTAAACTGTGCCCTGGAACCTTTACTGCCAAGTAATTAGGACTTCGGATCAACATCTGAAGAAATGTTGAAGAAAGGCACCTCTTACAACATTGTGTCCCAGGTCACCATTCTGGGGCACTAGTCTGTAAATTGTGGTCCAGAGAAAAGAGCACCATTTGCTGATCCAACAGCAACCCGATTTGTTTCAGAGATCTCCCATTCCTTTGCATAGAGAAAATTAACCTCCATCCAAACTGTGGCAAATAGGATTTTTCTTTTGTTTCCTCATTTATGGACATATTGTAGAATGTAACCCTTCCAATTCAGACATGCATAATAGGCCTTGGATAGATCAATAGTGTGGTAATAAATTGAGATAATAACATGTGGTCCCTCCTCATTCCCAATGTGTTTCCTGTTAGAAAGATGCAGTAGTATCAAGGAATATACTGTAGGACTGTTTAAACTATTGCCTGTAGGGGGTGTGCTTGTTCAATGGTGGTTGGTGGGGGGAAAACCATACTGTGGCTGAAACTGATCTAATTTCTGGGTTGTCAAATGACATGATTTGCTCTACTGGGCAGCAGCAGCAGAGACAATATACGAGCAGCCAAGCGTGAAGAAAGAAGATTCTCGTTCTCTCTAATCTCTGCTCTCAACAGAGCTGAGAAATGTTACAAGATGGAGTCCAGAGAACCCCAGAAGAAACATGGGGCTGGTCGTAGCCTCTTGCCCATCTTCCGCAGGCAGGAATCTGCTGAAGTGTCTGTCAACTCCTCCCTGTACTGCTGTCCACGATCTCCTAATACATCGTTCTGCATATTTTCTAGAATTCAGAGTCACTTTCCACAGTTTCTACGAAATTCAGTCTTTATATTTCCCAAACCGGACCAGGTTTGATAGAACAGATTGTACGGTTATTGAAAGAGATCTTACCAAACACAAATTGTTTGACAAATAGACAAATGATAGACAATTGAGGCAATAATCATTCAATTTAAAAGTAGAAACCAAATAGAAACTACAGGAGTCTTCTTGGGACCAAAGATGGGTAAAGTACATCGCAGGGCAAACACAGACACAAGCACATACACACCCAACTTTCCCTGAAGCCAATTAACCTACCAGTAGGTCTTTGAACTGTGGGAAGAAACTGGAGCACCCAGAGGAAACCTGCATGAACATGGGAAAAACATATTTCATGGAGATACCAGCCTAAGTACAGCCTTGAACCCAGGGCCCCTGCGCTGTAAGGAAACTATGCTAACCACTGTGCTACCCTTATTGAGATCAAGACATTTTTTTTTTTACCAGGAAGAGGTGGACAGGACTTATTTTTCAGGCTGTTTTCAGTTTTTTTAAAACCTGAAATAACTTACAAATAACTTACCAGTTAAATAAGTGCTGCGGATTCATGACTACCATGATGGTTGTTGGCATGGGAGAGCTGGCTGTCACAATTTGGCAGGCAAAATAATTGAACCGTCGGGCACGCATGTATGCAAAACGAGCGTGATGGCAGCTGCAAGCATAAAATAGCGCAGCACAACCCGGCAATATAAAACAAGCCCGGAACAGCTTGTTTCCCCTCTCCCCTTTAATATTGCAGAAAAACAAGCAAGATGAGTCACCTCCCCTCTCTTAGCATGAAGCATGGCTTCAGCCAGAGCATTTGCCAGACAGGTCTGATTTTAATCACCATGTCCTTGACAGAAAGGAGGATGCACGTTGGCTGCTGAGCACCGTTAAACAGCTGTGACAAATCTCTTCTGCTTTAAAAGAAGGGGATCCATGATTTCAAATATTCAGTCATTAGTAATGCTTTTTTCACAGATTAGTTCCTTTAGTCCCAAGCAGTTGATATAATACCGTACTTGTAATGTGTGTTTTTGGAAACTGCAGCGTCAATGTCACCTCTTAGCACAGAGCTGCAGTTAAGCAGTACATACAGTAAACAGTCAGGTACAGAACTGGTGGCCACATTCAGGTGATGGAGTCTGTTTTCTCATGTTCATGTCGAGAACATTCCCCATGGTGCCATTTGTATGTGTGAAATTTGAATGATCTACTGTGCACACTACTCAGAACACATCTGAAGTTATATACTGTAGACCAATTTACAATTGACTTCATAAGCACCTTGTTTTCTTGATATACAGTATATATGCGTTACAGGCCACATCTGGTTGTCTATTTTATTTTGCTTGGGCATTTCTGGTTTCAAGGACTTCTGAGTAAATCCCAAAATTGTCTTTTGTCACTAAATTTACTTTTTCAGTGCTTGCCCATATCCAGTAAAACAATGAAGCAGTAACCTTTACCCTAAGCCTAACCTGAATCTTGGAAAATGTGGCATCTATAGTCTTTGCCCAGAACTCTTGGAGAAGTTGGATTGGAAACTAAACTCTCCAGACTATTGTTTTTTTAACGTTTGATATAGTGCCCCCCCCCAAAAAAATATTGGGACCATGAAGTTTTAACTGGGATTTTTACAATGATCTCTAATAATAATTGTTTCTAATATAAAATATGATTGGGTAGCTCCTATTTAATCAAGTATTCAGTTCCTAGGTCAGTTAAACTTATTGGTAAAATTGAAATTCATTTTTTTAGGAAAAAAGTGGAACTGTCAGGGGTTTCCTTTTGTTCAGTTCTTGGTTGTTGGGTAATTATGCTCATTTAAGAGATGTGAAAATGCTATCTCACTTTGACTTCAGTGTTTGAAGTCCAAGGCCAAAAGTAAAAAAGAAAATCAAAGAACTTTCTATTAAAGAACAACTTCTGAAGCAGTTTTAAAGCTGAAAGAAAAATTGTATCCCCAACATGGCACAGATATAGGGCGTACCAAACTCAACAGATACTCAAGAAGAGAGTATCTTTTAATAATTCATCTTGATAATACTGAATGCTAGGCTACTGAATATTGGTAGATTTTTTTTTGTTTAAAGAATAATTACAATGTAAAATTTGTGTGTATTATCTGTAACATGAGGTAAGATTTATCTACTGTTAGGACTTGGTGTGGACTGGATGAAGGTCAGATATGTCTTAAATGTGTAAAACTATAGATTCATAAGGGGGTGTACTTTATTTTTCACATCACTGTATACTGACAAAAAAGATATCACAGGTACACTTTCCAGTCCACCAAGATCAGGTCATCAAAGAAAACATCTGCAGCTGAAAAATAAATTGACAGAGCTGTCAAGAAAAAAAGCTTAAATAACTGTCAGCGAATCCACCAACAACCTCCAATATCCAAGGGGGTTAAGGTATCAAAATCCACAGTTCACAGAAGACCAAGACAGCAGACTCACAAAGACTACAACACAAAATGTTAACCCCTCATCAGTGCCAAGAACAGAAAAGTCAGAAAATAATTATTTTGGAAGTACAACGATGAGTCAGGTTAGTTTTGGAAATGTTTTCTTATAGATGACACCAAAATGATAGAAAGTTTAAAGAGTGGGGTAAGAAAGCAGCTGCATTTTGGTCCGAAGAATACCAGCTCATCTGTGTGGCATGATGGAGATAATGGTCTGGTCATGTTTGCCCACCTCTGAAACTGATTCCCTTGTCTTATCGATGATGTAACTAATGTTGACATCACCAGAATTAATTCTGAAGTCTACAGATACATTTTGCCTGTTTAAGTAGAAGAAAACGCTTCTATACATATTGGCAGTGCTTCACCATGCACCAAGACGATGACAATGAAAAGTGTAAATTTTAAGACCAGTCAAGTCAATCTCCAGAGTTATATCCAATCAAGTAATCATTTTGTGTGGTGAAGAAAAACTGAAGTCCAAACACCTCAAGCATAGGCATGAACTCAAAATGGCTGCAGAACTCAAAATGGTCTTTGTCCCAGTACTTTGGGAGGTCAGTATATATACAG